GTTTCTCTCTCTCTCTCTCTCTCTCTCTCTCTCTCTCTCTCTTCCTCTCCTTTCCTTTCCCTGTTCACTCTATTCGCTCTCTTTGATGCAGTCGCAGCTTTGATACTCCTGCCAGAATATCCCACTTATAGTTAGTGCATAAGCCTTCTCTTCCCTCAGACATATATTCTCTCGCGTTCCTCTGCCAATGTCCTCTCTCGCTTGCACCCCATTTCTTCCAAGCTTACACGCTATCTCCGTCACGCGTTTCCAGCTTTTCCTCCCTCTACTCCTTTCTAGCGCAGACATTCTAACACACGTGGGTACGGTTTCCTCGACGTTTCTCACCGACTCTTTGTCCCGTCGTCTTGCACGAGACGACGCGACGTTGAACGATTCGTGAAACGTTCCTCCTTTTGGCGTTCGCCTCGCGAGAATAACGCCGTGCACGCGTGCATCTCTCCCCCCCCTCCCCTCTCGCTCTATCTCTCTCTCTCTCTTTCTCTGCCGACACGGTGAAACGTGGGTCAAGGATCGACGATTAAAGGATTCGTTCGCGAGAAGAGCGTGTCGTTTACACGCTGACGCGAATTCTCGCGGTTTCCGTTTTGCTTCCTTGGCGCTCCGGGATTCCTAGATACCGCGAACCTCGAGGAACGCTGGTAATTACGTCGATAAGAATCTCGCATGATTCACGCGGTTGGAATAACTCTTCGGCATCGTAGCTAATTTCCTTTTTTTTTTTTTTTTTTTTTACGAACGAAGGAAGGTGACGACGCAACTTGATCCATCGTATCGACGACGAACGATAGAGGAGAAAAAGGTATCGACGTCGAGTGTGTTTTAGTCGAGCGATGAACCGCGTCGATCGGGACACGAGGCTGGAAAAGGAAAGGGTGACGTATAAAATTGGTCTGGCCCGGACGATGGACGAGAATTTCCAGGGGTCTCGAAACGATGTGGAGGTCCTCTCGAATCGGTGCACGCCCACTTTTTCGCAGTTCCAATTAGGCGAGGACCCTTGTGCGCGTTTTATTTGGTAGTTGATTGGTGTCGACCGGACAGTAGTGGGAATTAATGAAGACAGCTCTCGGGACTAGAATATGCCGAACAGTTATTGGCCAAACGAATAATTTCGCCGACACTCGCGGATTTTACAGGCGTTTAGTCGTTTAGTTGCAATTAGCACCGATTGACGATCGGCTAGACTGTGGCAGTAGCTGTGGCAGTGGCGATATACGATCAGCGCGGAAATTAGGGATGCGAATCGGTGATTGAGTTTGACGCTTTGCCCCGCACAACCTTTTGTACACTTCAAGATTATAACTTATTAATATAAAATGTCACGAGATTTTATATCAAGATGACTGTCTTATTTAATTATAAAAAATAGTTCAAGCTGGTCGATTACTTTACCTATATAAAATTTCACCGAAAATTTATTTTCATCTGCTAAATAAAATAAAATTTTATAATGAAATATAAAAATTTTCAGAAATAATCTTTCTAATGGTATCACTTCTCTCTGTGACTTCTAACAACGTGACTTCTAAACGAGTCAATCAGTCGATGTAAAAAAAAAAAAAGAAAAATTGTATTTCGAATATTAAGACTCGAGGAAGAGTGTAAAGAAAAGAGCAACAATCACTCGATAACGATGGTTAAACGGTGTTATCGTCCGTGAAAAGAAAACGCGTCTCTAAGCAAGCCTCTCCGATAGTCGCAGACGCAGGCGCAGGTTTTCAGGTTCGAATGGGTCACTGAAGAGATATATCCCATACATATTCATGCCGAATATTTACCTAAGGCCAGAAAAGAACTGTTAAGAACGAAAGCAACGTATCGCATTAATACGAGAGTCCTCGTAGATCCTACGAATATGTAGGTATATGCAAATGACACCGTTCCCGCCGGGGAAACCTTTAAATCACACATCGAGGCTACCAATAACACGTCGGCGATCATAATACAAGACAGCCTTTATGTTCTCTCTGCCACCAAGAGTAGCAAAACGTTCGTCCTCGAGTTTAAAAGGATCGCGTTCTAAGTACCGTAACATGCAATAACAGCTTTCATCGGACATAATTCGAGCCAGGATTAAAATAACAAATAGAGAGGCTCGAGAGAGGCGACGCGTGTTGCGTGTCGCAATTAACATACACTGGCGGACATGCAGTTGCGAGTTTTTACAAGAAACGAAGTTTGTTAATCGTTCCCAGGGGACCTAATTCGCGCGCGGTATTGCCGCAGACGCACGGCTATTGATATCTCGTTTCGAACCAAGAAACAACTTCCAAATTCCCCGCGGTGTTTCGTCTTCCCCTTACGAATTTGCAAATTGACGAAACGAAAGATGAAGAACGACGAGATCAACGTCCGAGTGCAAATATCTTTTACGAAAATTGCGTAATCACGTTATCAGATGGTTGAACAAAATGATCGTCGCGAGATTTCAGAGAGATCACGGTTATTTTAAATTTCCCTCCGTCCCACCGTATTCTCCTTATCTCCGGCCGTTCGTTCCCCGGAACAGTTGAAACCCGAAATAAGGTAGACACAAAGGGAATCTTTCTCTCTTTCTCTCCTTTTTTTTTTTTTTCTTTCTTTTCCTCCTTCAAAACGAATGCCTCGGCGAATTTATACATCACAATTCACCGCGCATCGCGGCCATTAACGCGTCGACGACCGGGGAACATGACGGCCATGGTACATCAACCTCCGGTGAGGAAACCGAGCTCCCCGGCCCAAAGTACCAAAAAGGAGCCACGCCGTGCTTTTATCGCGAGTAATTCAGGCCACGATCGTACGTATACGGTGTCTAATAAATTCGTGAATGGCCAGCCAGCGACTGAAATGTCCTATACACCCACGCGTAACGCACGCGAGTTGCCATCGTGCAACGAGCTCTTCCTCTCTCTCCCTCCCTCTCTCTCTCTCTCTCGCTCACTCTCGTTTTCTCTCTACGGGTTTCGTCTATGGTTGTGTGCGCGCGTGCCTCGGTTCCCGAGGTTGTTGGCGTTTGGTTACGCGCTTAGGGTGGGTACCGAGCCGACATGGGGGCACCGAGAGAGAGCGGATATTATCGCCAAACGTTAATTTGGTCGAGGCCCGGCCTACCTTCCAATTTTCGAGCCCTTACACGCCCACTTACGAGATTGTCCGTTAATGCTCCGAAACGTCGGGACGCGTTTTCGACGCCCGCGTTTTACCGCCACGGAGAGCTTCACGGGCTTCGTGTATGTACATACGGGCCGACGGGTGCATCTCCGGACGAGGTAGATGCATCTCTCTCTCTCTCTTGATCCTCTCAGCCTCTACGTACGAGACACACGCGTTACCAGAGTACTTTCGTACGTGCATACTTGCAAAGGTAAATAGAGTCGTCGAGCGTCGAGTCTTAAACGTGGAGGATAGTAGAATTGCAGGTGTCGAGGTTTTTTAAACGTTAAAAAAGTTAAGAGTCGCAACTACTAGGATTTTAAATAGCTTAAATTAGACTCGGTAAGTCTCTTGCTCCTAGAGAAAAGAAACGCTAGGTTTTTTAAAAACTTAGAAAAGGGCCTGTGATTGAAGTTTCACATCAGACGACGATGTCACGAAGTAAGAAGTAAGAGGGGAATTTTGTGAAAATGGAAGTAACTCGACAAATTTAACACCGATAACGTTCCCACCAAACGCGCCGTTTATCTACAAAAAACAGCTTGACAACGTGAAGATAGTCCAATGTTAACGGGGCAAGGGCAATATCGGACGATACGAGGAACGTCGCGATAAAATTAAATGGAACGTCGCGTAAAGGAACGACGTGTCTCCAATTGGACGCTAAGAAAACAGGGAAAACCGTATTTCAGTCGGTGCCTTAACATTCCCGCGTGGACGCGCGCATCGCACACGCCCGCGCGCCTAATTTATGTAACACAGAACAAATATACTCGTGGCCGCGTACGGCCGCATACGCAAAGCGTGGTCGGACGAAGGAAAATAAATACGAGACACAGAACAAGTGGAACGTCCGCGAGAGAAGCAAGAAAATAGTTCGCGCGGCGATTCGTAGACCCGAAATAGGGCGGTGTGAACAGCAGGAAACTTTACTGTACACCGTGCAACGCGGAGTAGGAGAGACAGACGTGTGTATTGGCGTGTGTGAACGCTGTTGGAAAGAACCGGTTATATAGGAACCATCCTCCACCTTCTCCAACTTCTTCTTCTTCTTCTTCTTCTTCTGCTTTTTCTTCTTCCTCCTCTTCTTCTTCTTCTTCTTCTTCTTCTTCTTCGTCTTCGTCTTCTTCTTTACCTTCCTTTCTACTCATTCGCCGACCTTTCGTTCCATCCTCGCCAAGTATCCAGCAAGCTCCGCTACATAATACAAGCGAGCCTATATATACAAGCACGTCCGTGCGCGCGTACCCGTGTGTACATATGTGTAGAGGCTCTCTGTATGTACACTTACGTGGGGTCCCGACACCATGGGCGCCTGCCTATCTGACATTGGGTGCCTACGAGGGCGAGTCCACGTCGTTTCTTTTTTCTTCCTTTCCTGACCTGGCTACCGACGGACCCGGGGGAACCGTGTAACTCCTTCCAAGGACCCTTCGGGGGCGTTGGAATTTCACGAACGTTTCACGAATAGCCTCGTTTCCGATACGCGAAAACCCAGACGGAATTCTACTATCGTACTCGACTCGCAACACGCGGTGGATATCCCGCGGTGAAAGACACACCGCTGAGTGATACGTGGCTGTTAATATTAATACTTAATCGCGTCGATGATTTCTGACGATGTGAATGAATTTTTTTACTCGAAATATACGTTTCGAACGGCGTCGAAATCCAGGCGTTGGAAATATAAATGACTTTTCTTTTGATTATTGTTAAGACCCAGGACTATTCGTTCGTTTTAGTCCGTCTTCTTCATGCTTGTACGTGTCTCACGAATGTTTGGGCCTATTTACTATTCACATATGATTTCACGTGTCTCGCTTGATTTAGATTATTAATGACCGATGTGTTTTCTGTTGCAGATTTCGAATAGACAACACAGACCACATAATAGACGTGAACAAGAACAACGCGGCGTTCGAGTACGACCAAGTGAACATAATATGTCCTGTGTACCAGCCAGGAACGTATGACGAGGACGCGGAGAAGTATATTATTTACAACGTAAGTGCACGTTTCGTATCGAATCGTAATGCAAGGAATCTTGCCCTCGACACTGGTAGAAAGATTGTCGCGAGCCCGAGCGTGTACCCTGGCCCCCCGCCATAGTGGGATCAACAGATAAATCGAGTTACACGACTGTCGGCCCATTATGCGAAATAAAAAATTGTCAAAGGGCGTTCCGTACTGTTTAGACAGCTGCTGCTACTCGAAACTCGTTCGTTAACTCGCTCGTATTGGACCCCCAAGAACGACTTCCGCTTCGTAGCCATCTTTTGACACCGCGTTGCCCTCCGACGAGCATGTTCGAACGTTGTTTCACCCGCTCTTAAAAATATTCATGACGAACGAAGCATCGTGTCGCTATCATTCCCGAATTAGAGAAATTCCCGTATATACGAGATCGATAACGATGTTTGCTCCGTGAAATTGACAGAGTTTCATAAATCGGATTGTAGCTAACATCCCTAACGGAAAGCTTTCGCCCCTCTTCTTGCTTTTATCGGAGAGTTCAGCTCAGTTTCCTAAAGCAGCGACGCAAGCACCACGAATCATCGCCGAGATCTAATCACCGTCTCGATATCCTCCCCTCTCGATAACGTTCGAACCTAACAATAGATAGTTTCCTCCCCCTTGGCCGTGTCTCCGGAGGGATAGAACCAGTCGAGAAAGAAAAATCAGCTATTTTCACGGCTATTCGTTACGAAGAATGGCAAACAACTCTCGCGGTAATCATTCGACGATCAGTAGCCATTGTGAGGAATCGTTGTTTGAGGTAGACCCGACGGAACGATAGAGAGAAAGAACTGCATACGCGACAAACAAGTAGCGTCACCAATCGATTCGTGCCAACAACTTATTGCTGCGCCGTGTGTTTCGCAGGTGTCTAAAGAGGAGTATGAAACATGTCGGATAACAAATCCAAATCCACGGGTGATAGCGGTCTGCAACAACCCGTACAAGACCATGTACTTCACGATCACCTTCAGGCCGTTCACACCGCAACCCGAAGGCCTGGAGTTCCTGCCAGGCCACGATTACTATTTCATCAGCACCTCGTCCAAGGACGACCTCCACAAACGCATCGGTGGACGATGCACCAGTAACAACATGAAAGTTGTCTTCAAAGTATGCTGCCGCAACGAGGCTGACACCTCATCGTCATCAGCAACATCGCGCAACAATTGTGAGTACTCTTCGTATTGTTATAAAGATCATCGTTCCGTTTTCTAATATCGATACGTTCGCTTAACCGGAGCATACCTTTTCCTATTCGTATCAATATAAAATCTATGGTTATAAAGACGTACAAAGGCGTACGTCTCTAAAATGTAAAAAAAAAAAAAAAAAAAAACGACGTAAGAAAACGATTCGATTTGTATGTAAGTATTTTCACGTTTCGGTCCCACTTACAATCATTCCTTAAATAGTCCCGACATACGAAAACTGCTCTGTCCTATCGCGAGCGATCGTTTCACGTGTATTCTAATGAAGGATCGATCATCATAATCCGAAATTATAGTCGTTGTATACGTCGTCTGCGCCGCCTTTTCATTTCGCGTGTAAATCACGTTTAAAACCTTCACGGTATCGCGTGAGCGCCCGAGCTTCCTTCGTTCGTCCACACCCGGGGATAAAACGAATCGAAGAAGGGCCACGTCATAAATTCATTATCCCCTAATCGGTTACAAAGGGAAGGACTATTCGCAACGACAGACGGTCTACGCTGATTCCTTGATCTTCCGTTGTGATCACCGTCCACCCTCTCGATTCCCCTCTCTGTTTCCCCGCTCGCACAGACGGCTACGGCCTGCGAGCCTGCTCCTCCCCTCTTAAATAATCCCTATCAATTATAATTCTTACTCGTGCACACCATTTGTTGCGGTTAGAGGAACCAACGCTGACCCAGAACACAATAATAAATTCCTGTATTTCATTCTAGCCCGCACTCCTCTCTCCCTAATTCGTTCCAACCGTCCTCCCGACACCTCCTCCGCGCCTCCTGCCCGCTACCACCGGCCCAACACTCGTCGGAGACGATTCATGCGCCGTAATGACTAGCTATTTCGCCGGCCGAGAACTCTGAACTCCCTTTCTCTCTTTCCCTCTTTCTCTGTTCGGCGTCTCGGGCATTCAAGATTCCACGAGAGGTTCTCTACCAACCTCGAAATCCTTCCGCGGCTCTCTACCGTGCTGTGTTTGCGGGATCAGAACCGTGAGCACCGACGCTCGTGTACGATGTTCTACGATTACTATCAGCGGCCACGAACCGCGAGAAATGTTAATCTCGCGAAAAATTTCAGACGGGCTTCTTTTTCTTTGCGCCGCTAGCGCTTTGCGCGGGGCGAAAGACATTTACGCCGGCAATTAGCCGGCGAAAATGCGAAATTAATCTTTGATTTTATTCCACCGGTGGAAGTTCATTCTACCCGCGCTTGTGAATTTCGACCGTGAACACGTGAAATATTCATCGTGTATTTACGGTTTCTTTTTCTTTCTTCTTCTTTCGGCTCTGCCGCGTTTCATCGTTGACGTTCGATCGATCCGAGGAATGAATTTCGATCGCAGATAGCGTAAATTTCGATTTGAAATCACGTAGAAAAAGAATGTTACTATGTTTTTATGTATATGTACTGTTTTAAACGGACATCGAACGAAGAAACAAGAATCCACGTTCCCATCGTTTTCTCTGCGGCGATCACCACGGATGTTCGTATCAAATTTTTACGATACCGCATTTACGGTTATGACTGTAACGTAACGTTTACGCGCGATTCTATTATTACGTATGATCGGCATTGGCGAATGATCGGCCGAGGCGATTAAATAAAATTTAACGGACGCAATCATAACCGGCGTGTCGATTCGGCGGAGGCCGAACGTGGGTTTAAAATATCGACCTCTGGCGAACATGTTCATGGTTACGTACATAGGTAATTGAAATCGATGGCTAATTCACTCACGGTCCCGTTTACGAGCAATCGTCGGGCGGCGCAGTCTCCGTCGTTGATCCCCCCCTCCCCCCTCCCACTCCCGTCGTTGAAAATTACGCAAAACCGGTACGCGATTTCGACCACGATGTCCAGCTAAAATCGTAAACGTTCGTCGACGGGACGTTATTCTAAATCATCCAGCTGGAAACGCCGCGGTGAACAACGTGACGATGTTGCGCGGGCGCGGGCGCGCGCGCGAGCGCGTAACAACAGTAATCGAGACTGGCTGGAAATTGCACGCAACTCGCGAACCAGTGGAAAAAATCACTAGCTGAGATTACACGCTAAAATTCAATAGCCGCAACAAAGTATATACCTCTGACCACACGGTGTAGACCAAAACCGAGGCTCTGCCCTACGATTCTGGCGAAAGTACGCTCGTTGCGTAGCCGTGCCTCGCCAACATGACAATAATGCATAATAGGAACGTTTGAGAGAAAGGAGAGAAACGTAAGCGTTGATCTACGCGTTGTTTTTCAGCCGTAGCCGTGACCAGCAGCACCGTGCCGAGCAGCAGCTCGACCAGTACCGCAGTTTTGGGTGGAGGAGCCGCTGGAATACCACCCCCGCCACCACCGAGCGTCCTCAAGGGCGGAGATCGATTCTACCCAGGGGGCAGCATTCATCATCATCACGATCATCATCAGCCGGCCACGGCGGCGCCGACCCTGCCTCACGTGCCCCCTCCGGCCATCTACCCCGTGCATCCGCATCAGCCTCCGATTCACAATGGACCGCCGTCCTCCTCGCCGCCCAAGACCTCGATCGGCCAGAAGAAGAAGAACAGTACGTATAACACAACGCTCTCCACCGTCTCTTGCCACCTGCTCTCTTTGCCGCGAAACGAGTTTCTCGATGCTCCTCGCGACCATTATCTCGGCCAATGATTCTTTCATTTTTCTCTCTCTCTCTCTCTTTTTTTACTTCTTTCTCTTCTTTACATGTTTTCTTTATTCTTCTCTCCTTCGCTCTTTCGGTCTTCCTCTACCATTTCGTGTTCCTTCGTTCCTCTTTTTCGTCGTTTTCTTTTCTTACGCGAAACCACTCTCGTCGTCGCGTCTTGTCGAAATTAATCACGGAAGAGGAGGGTCTTTTTTATTAATCGACGCGAATTAGATCGTCTACAACGTGTAGTTGGTCAGGTTTAACCGAGTTGAATAGAGTAAGGCAATTCGCGGCAACCGTGGCACAGTATTTCGCGAGAATGTGTCCCCGATCGATGTAACTTGGTCTCTGCCGTCCTTTTTTTTTTAAGGTGTCTGTAATCGTCGCGTTCGTTTTGTCCATCTGATAATTATCACTTTGTATCGGGATTGCTCTTGCATAAAATTAAGATAAACCATTCGTACCCGACGCCTTTACCGCTCGTTACAGTTGCGCAAATCGTTTTTTCAAGCACGAAGAAATTACCGCGATTCGTTATTAGCGTAATTGATATTTCTCTTTTTCAACTGAACGAGGTGCGGGTCCATGGTCGCGCGGGAGTCTCTCTTTTTCATCGTCGTCTCACAACGTTGAAAACGGAGATGGTTAGATAGACGCGAGTGCGAAAGTCAAAGAGGAGACTCACCGATACTTCGGTCGTTAAACTACCGTTATGTAGTTGAACGTGTGACGGTCCATTTCGTGCCAAATCATTTTACGTAATTCATTCGTAGTTCATATTAAGTCGAATAAAGTAAATAACGAGCAAATAAAATTTTAATGAGCTTGAAAATTATATTGTCGCTTGCCGTGTCTTGTTCTACTTCGTATGATCGCTAATCGCATAAATAATATTAAACAATGAGATTGATTATTGAAATTTGCACTGGCTGATAGTACATGATGTTTTTGAAAACTGTTTCAAAGTAGAATTACATCTTTTAGCTTTGAAATAGCGATTATCTTTTAAATTTAGTTGTGCTGCGTAATTATTTTCTCCGACTATTTAAGTACTCAGTTGTAGAAGAAATAAAATTCCTTGATTTAGAAATTTTACGCAGTTTTCAGTATTATTTGACACTCTAAGATAAATAAATTCATGAAATATCTACTTTCTAACACAGTGGTTTCTGATATTGTAATAAAGATAAACTCACGTTATAATAGTAGCATTAAGATTAATTGCAATTATACAGTATTCTAGAAATTGTATCACAGCTTAAGAGTTATTTACGAATGAAAGAAACTATTCGAAGAATTGCAAATGGAAAATTCAATAGATCAAGGAACATTTCGATGGGGAACAATTGTACGCAGCGAAGAATTCGATTCTAGAATCTGTCGACTATTCGCTCTTTTTATGTTGTCATCTACGATAATTTGACTTGAAAATGCGTCGCGTATGTGCGCACATTTGCATTCCACCGATAGCCGGGACACGATCATTAACGAGGTAACCTGCTTGGCTCGAGACGCAACAAGGAATTCGTGTTCCCAAGGTGTCGAATTGAAATTACTCAAGGCGGCCCGTTCCGCCTTCCTTTGTAACAACGTTTCGAATTTCTCCACGGTATTAAAGTCGTCCCTTCGAAATCGAATCGTGTCCGAACGAAATTTATAACGTCATTCGTGACCGACGATGTGGGTCTGTTACAACGCGTGCGTTTCATTTCGATCAGAAGCAAAAATACACGAATGAAAACGTTCACCCTTCAGCCGTAGTCTAGATGGAAGTTGAAGCTCCTGCTCCGATATCGGCCGCGTTTCCTAGATCGCGTAATGAGGTAACTTTTTTCCACGGAACTGCCGGAAGTTTCGTTTCGAACCGGAGAAAAGAGACGTTCTTGACCTCTTTTCTGAAGTAAAAATAACATGATTATTTGTTGTGGAAAAATAATAAAGGAGAATCTCAAAATCATTGGCCGCAAATTACTAAAATATCATTTAAATATAATATTGTATAAAGTATCAAAGTTTATTAGATAATTAAAATTCTCGTAATTAAAATTCTCGTAATCGCCGTGTTGCTCGAAACAACGTTCTTCTCCGTTTTCTAATGTAAATTAAAGTAACGAGTCGAAGTGTCATCGTCTGCAAATAACGATTATGTTTTTCTGCCTACAGAGGAATATTCGGACCACCCGAACGAAGTGGTGAAGAACGAAGAATTGACCTACAACGGGGCGAGTTCCAGCCGTGTTCAAGATCGGTATAACCAGTTGGTGGTGGTGTTAACGGGAAGCTTGTTGATCAGCGCGATCCTGCCACAATTATTGCGGTGAAGCGACAACACTGCCGACAAGAACGTATATCCCATACGTCGAAACCCCTTTTTCTGTGATTATCCTACGTTTAATTAATTTCTTGAGGCACGCGTGTGCGCGTGCACGCTCGCACGGCCGCCCCTCGATCGTGAAAAATAAAACGCGCACGATTTATGGTCGGACTGCCTCGAGAGAGAAAGAGAACGAGAAAATTCAATCGGGTTGGAAGAAAGACAAAAACGAGCAACAATGGTTTAAACAAAGGAAAAACAAAAATTGAAATGAAAATAAAAGAGAATGCAAGTTGTAAGAAGAACGAAGAGTTGGCAGAAATAACAGAAAAGAAAAAAAAAAAAAAACGAAGCAAACGTGAATGTCAAGAGAAGAGATACGCACGACACACGAGCAGCAACGCCATATTGAAACTATTCGAAAAACGAAGGACGAAGACGTAGGTAGTAAGATTACAAAAAAAAAAAGAAGAAAAAAACGAAGAAAGACGATGAGAAACGCTACTACTAGACACTATTATAGTATGCCCACTATTATCACTACTATAAATGGTAGTCGTATTGGTTGTCCTTCTTATCATTACGCTAATTCTAGGTATTTATTGGAAATACAAGAAAAGAGAACGAAGTCGTGAACAGCGTGCTAACTGTCTTCGAGCGAAATACACGCCGGCCTAGTGAATGAACACGTCCGTCAGAAAGAAGCGCAAAAATTCTTTTCATTTAAAAAATCGTAGTCGCTTTACACGCGAGAATTTCGGTTGTGTTATTCGCGCGACTGACGCCGACGGTTTGATTCGCAAACGGTCCTCTGTCACCAATTACTTGGTTGTTTAAAAAAATATGATTGAAATTGAGAGTCAAACGATTATGTTAACTTTATGCAAATTTACACGGGGGACGAATTATTAGGTTTAGTATGATTTAAACGACCTCGCTAATTTAGTATATGTATCGTTACTTACGACAAATTTTTCACTTTGTGCGTCACGTTCGCACTCGCGCACGTTAACTAACGAACATTTTCCAGTTTATCACTGCTGCGATAATCGGATCGAACGATAAGTTGCGATTGGTCGCGATGGAAATTCGTAATCGAAGGAAACTGTCCTGGCAGAGGACTGCTCGGGCTGCGCTGACAGTCGCGCTCAGGATAATTAGCACGTGTGTAAATAAATTCCTAATGAATATGTACAAGTGGCTCTTGCCTCATCTTCGGGGCAGAGGAATTTAAGAGAGTGCCGTATACTAGGTAAAATCTTATATATGACACGAAAGAGTACGATACAGTGTGAATGAATGCGGAGTGTGATATAGTATAACGTGTATGCGTGTGTTGCGAGACGCGTGTGGACATTCGTGAACACAAGGATCGCCCGTTGGATAGCCGATAGTGTCACAAAACTGTACAAGGTGTGATAAACTTTTGTAAGTTCCGGCCGCGGTTCTCGCAATCGTGACACTTTCACGGACACGTGAAATATCGTCGGCGATGAAATGTCGAAGAGAAATAGCGAGCGAACGAACGAACGAACGTAAGTATGGTAATGCATGAAAGAGAGACTGACCGCGGAGCGAAAGAAAGAAGAGAAATAAAAATTTTTGTATCATAGTTGTACCATACCGAACTTTATCTATAGATCTGTATTATATTTATTATCCGCTATCATTACGCTACGAATAATCACACTCGATATTCTATATTTACTAGTAAAAAAAAAAAATATCAAATTTAATAGCGAATAAATTGCGTATTCGGCGGGGTATAATGATAAAAAAAAGAACGACATGACGCGAGAAAAGCGATAAATTCTCGACCCCTGTCACCATCAGATCTGCCATTTGTTGTTTTCTTTTTTCCTTTTTTTTTTTTTTTTTTTTATTTTTGCTTCTTCTTTTTTCTTGACAGCGTAATGGGAGGAATATGTGGGTTAGCACGAAAATGGAGCAGGGACACAAAGGTATGTATAGACGGATTGTTTGGAAACTTAATGGTCGCATATGGTGCCTCGTACGAGTACAATGATTCAATGGTTAAAGATGAGGGAAACGGGTTATTATTATTTAGGTTTGACGTGGGAGAACGTGAAATTGAACTGATTTCGCACTCCTTATTGTTGCTAGATTTATACATAATTGAAATTAAGTAATGTGAAGTGTGCTGAAAAGTATGTTGTTATATAAGTATGTGGTAATAAAATTAAACGTGTTTTTACATCTTTTATCATTATCGAAAGATAATTTGTCACGATTCTCTAAAAGACCACGTACCTTTTATCACTCGTATCAAGAAATTGACATTTGCAATTTCGGCCCCACTTTACGATCAGTTTTACGATTGAGCACGGAATTCTTCTCACTTCACGAAAATGTTCGTTCCCTGTTACATTTTAACTCTGCCATACTTTGCCATTTGCCACGGAGCGATAAAAACTTCCATTAAAAAAGGGAAACGCGAATCAGCCGTTTAAAATGTCCACAATTTATCCCATGCAAACTTTCGTGTTTGAACAAACCATGCACCAAAAAACACTGTAAAAGAAACACGAAGAGAAACAAAAAAACTAAAGGAAACGGATGGAATCATTCATTTTATTATCCCTTACGCAAGTAAAACGGATTGTCTTTGAAAGTTCCTCAGGGATGAGACGTTTCATTCGTTGCTGGAAACTAACCGGGCGACCATTCGTTCTAAACGCAGGGCAAGAGTTCCACGGCAAATCGTTCCCCAGAACTTATTTGGATATTCGTCTCGCGCTGTAAACGACAATCTAGTGGAAAGTTTCGTCCGGCTAACAGAGACGTAACCGTTTCCCCGTTGCAAAATCGTCCTAGCCAAGTTTCGTAACTTCTCGTACTTCGGCACAACTTTTTTACAACCCCTCGATTCACGTCGTTCACGAGAAGGTGGTCCTCCCGTAGTTGGCAGAGAGGAAGTCGTTACGATAATCGAACGAAATCCTTTTTCTGCGATGAGGTACAGTCAGTCACGTAATGTCTACGCAGGTAGATTATGAATGTTTAAAAGAGAGGGGGGAAAAAATGACTTTGAACATTTTCTTGGATATCAGTTAATTTAAAAGCGAGTCGAAATTACACATTGAAATGTCTTTTACGGGGAGGAATGTACAAATAAATTAAAAAACAAATCGTCGTGATTGTATTAATTATTATTAATAATTTAGTTATTATATTTAACTATATTATTAATATTAATATTATATATTATATTTAACTATATTATATATTATTAATATTAATATTATATATTATATTTAACTATATTATATATTATTAATATTAATATTATATATTATATTTAACTATATTATATATTATTAATATTAATATTATATATTATATTTAACTATATTATATATTATTAATATTAATATTATATATTATATTTAACTATATTATATATTATTAATATTATTATGTTATATAATAATTAATAATATACATCTTAATGTATCTATAATAATGGATATGGACTTCGTGATTCGACGTTTTCATCTTTTCACGTTTTCCAATGAACAACTAGTGAATAAATCAATGTTTATAAAGTGTTTAAAAATTACGTGATTGTAATGTAATTGTGACGCAATTGCACGAAGATGCAAAATAGAAAAACGTGGATCTTCCGCCAGAATGGGGCGAACTTTTGCGACAGCGGTTTATTAACGAACTTTTTTTTAGGTCGAATTTTCGCGTTAAAGGGAAGCGTTTACGTTTCTCGCGTCTTTCGCGTTTCGTAGTTTCTTTGTAGTATTTCACAGTGAAAGAGGGGCATTGAAGTCGAGCGAGCACATTTTTGCCGAGGAGAAACGTCCTGCAATCTCGAGACTGCACATTGAGATGAAGTTTGGAATTAGTCTTTCTTATAGTTGCGAGAGCGAAGGGTTGTTGCAACTGAACTTTGCAGAACGAGGAGGGACTTTATTTCCTCGAGACGCAGGGACGTTTACACTACCGCTGTTTTAATTCTTCGAATTTGTGCAATTTCTGTAAAAAAAAAAAAATAAAAAAAAGAACAGAGCTCTGTGAAGCTTTTTTAGTTTTTCAAAGAGAAAAGAAGGGAATTAATTTAAAATAATTTTTGTGATGTACAATTTTACAATTTTGAAACAATAAAACCACCGAATCGTGATTCTATTTTAGACTATGCAGAAACTATAGAAAATTTATAATGACATTAATTAGCCATCGAAGAAACATTATAAAACAGAAAGAAATGAAATGACTCGAGAGAAACTCAACAGGGATAAAGCTCTACGTTTTCTTTTCTTTTCTTTCTTCTTTTTTTTTATCAAAATCTTTAAAATATGTAAATTTCACGTCATTAAAGTTCTCTCCGTGCAACTTGACCCAAATATACTCGCGTATTATCGTTCGTTCGCGTGTCAAAGTGTTAATATCGGCGAGATTTCTCTCGAGAAGAATAATACGGTTGATTTCAACAGTTTCTTATTGAAATTGGAACGCACGGTAGATTGGACGATAAAAAATTCGTGGGCGGAATGGGCGAAAGGGCAAGGGGAAAAAAGGTAACGAGGAAATTCATGGGCCATTTAAGCTCCGCCGCAGGTATCACACGTAGATATCTTCGCTTATGAGTGACACCCATTCACCGACTGCTTTTCGTGCCGATGAATGAAGCATTCATACGCCTCGTACGTTCGTAAAAGTCGCAGTTTACTTTGCCGATCTGAATCACGCCGGCCTTCTTGCCTCATTCAGCTTCCATAAACTTTCACGATCTCGATTTATCCCCCCCCCCCCTCTCTCTCTCTCTCTCTCTCTTTCTGTCTCACATGATGAAGATCGTCCAAATAACAAAAGACTGATTAATCCAAAAATAACAATCCTACATTATTTGCAATCCAATCGTGTTTTTCTAACGTTAAAGGACATTTCGAGTTTGAACGAAATGTGAACAAATATGTGTTTACTTTTATTATCGTGTATGTTTTCATGTCAATTTTTTCAATTAGCTCATGCGCCGTGTACTATCAAAATTTTGGGTGCACGTTTTGTGTATGAAATGTACGGAATGTATGGAACGTATTGATTTTCTAATATCAGTATACATTTCCGATACACGTATTAGTTATGAATGTCTGATTCATATTAATAATGAATTCCTTGCCTGGAATATTTTCATTTATTTTTAATGGAAAATATGCTATTGTAGCATATAGTTTAAAAAACGTGCAATGAACATGTAATGAAATATCAAACATTAACGATAAACACGAATTACGAAAGTGTTTAATCCCCATTCCATTTATCACCATTTTCCTTTTGCATTTTTATATTTCATTCGT